GGGTAACGACAGTACTCAGCTGGTACGAAAGTAATGAGAAATTATCAAAATAGCGTGGACGATACTGTATTAACGCCAATATTAGTGACATTACTAGAGCATTCTCAGCCTTTGCGATTACTGGAATCTTTTTTGGAGTCAACTAGCAAGGAATTAGGAAGTTGTGTCAGCGAAATGCGAAGTTAGTCATCATCCACGTAAGCTGCCTTCAGACGACTGGCATCCAAGCAGTCTTGAGGTAAAGATGACGAAACCCTTCCTGTCGATTACTCTAACATGCTCACTGCTGCCCTCTTGTAGGAGTTCCTCCAATAACATTACAGAGCATAAAATTGTGTTTACGGTTTTGAAGCATTGTACCTAACTGTACCGTTCTTTTGTATCTACAGATGGGAGTTAGTTGAAGCTGGGGTTTACAAATTGAAAGGGTCTGTACGTAGTTGCGTCAGTCGGAAAGATTTAGCTTGCCACTATCCGTAATAACTAGTCAACAGGATGAAGGCAGTGAATTTTCGTAAAACAATTCTGTGTTGAACGTCCACTTTAAATGTGCAGTGAATGAAGAAAATGAGTGGATGTTAGGGACTGTACTCATTCCACATCTTTTACAAAAATTAACGAAGACTTAAGATGACGATCAAAAAGTTCCACCAGGTTTAATTATATGCAGTGATGCAAGCGCATATGCGTGTGAAGATGTTTTACACGTGATTGATTTAGATTATTATCCATGGTAGGTTGTCACAGAAGAAGAGCATACAAAATGTACTACTCATATTTTCATTAAAACTTAACCTACCTTTCTAGTGATGATATTGTGCACGATATGTGCAAGTAGAAAGATACAAGCGACAACTGGAAGGTGAAGGAGGACCAGTAAAACCCAGATGAACATGTGTTAATTGTGCACCAAATGTGTAAAGAGATCGAAGTGATGTTAGACTATACCAGTTTACTTTGAAATGCTAGTATCAATTACAAGCTTGTTTCCGCTTCCATAGATCATGGATAATGTCTAGTCAGACGAAAGTAACTGGTATAATTTCGTCAGTTACATGGTTTTCAGTACTGCAAAGTTTGGTTTACTTGAAGGAATAGGAACCATAAGTTTCGAGATTTTCGTATATATATCCTACATACAATATTATACCTCTACTGTCTACAGGCAGCACACTTCATTCTCAAACAGGCAGACTATTCAATTTGTCCAACACTTTCACTAAAGATTTAGGCTTAAGATATTTCTTCATAAGATACATTTTTGAGGCACAGTGCTGTTGCGAGTGTCGTAGAATTATTCAAATCAGGAATATTACTAACATACGACAATGATTCTAAACTGTGTTTCGGATAATATAATTCTTGCAGAGTACACCTGTTCCTAATGGTATGTAAGGCATACTTCAAAAGCTTTTAGATAGTCAACACAATGAAATGACGACCTTAAATAAAATAACCTAAACGCTGAGTGGCAAAATAGTTTTAGGTTCGTTCAGGATGAAGATTATCTATGGTAGCCTCCAAAGGACTTTGAACAAAAAACTCGATTTAGAGACCTTAGAAGTAGAAGTTTAATTAAAAATTGTAAATTTAAATGTTTAAACTGCTTAGTAGGGGTGTAACAACAGAAGACAAGGGCCAGGCAACAGATCGTTTATTTAGGAAAATCAACACGTATTTATAGATTTTTATGTACATTATTGTAGGTCAATGTTAGTAGAAAATACAGCCTGTTGATTGGTTGTTTCTCTCGCAAAGTTAACCTTGCATATCTTGTGGCTGTGTCAGTTCATCTATATGTTAACTGTAACCGCCTGTCCACCTTGACCTTTGACCTCAATTACTGTCAACCGATTTGGCTAGCGACCATCTCTCACCACACTCGTCCCCCCGTCAAAGACTTGCGACTGAAGTTGGTTCGGTCTTCTCGGTTCTTGGGGCTTTTCTCTTTTGTCTTGCTGTCTGAAATCTCGGCGCTTGCGGATGTTCACTTGTTTCTCTGTGTTTGCCATTGCGATTGCGTCTGCGTTACCCCATCTCAACGTGACCATATATGGTCCTTCCCACTTTGGAAACTGTTTGCCTGACCCTGTCACACATTCGTAGGTATTTCGCCTCACACTTCCATATGCTGCTTTCTCCCGACCTCCCAGCAGCGTCCTAAGTAGCAGCCTCATCGCTGACAGATCTTGAACGCCACTCAACTGCGAAGAAGCCTCGAAGTCCTGCGCGAAGATCCATATGTCTCCATCAAAAACTGCAGGGCATAGGCTTTCCATTTGTCGGTAGGCAGCGACACCAAATGTAACGACAGAAGACAAGGGCCAGGCAACAGATCGTTTATTTAGGAAAATCAACACGTATTTATAGATTTTTATGTACATTATTGTAGGTCAATGTTAGTAGAAAATACAGCCTGTTGATTGGTTGTTTCTCTCGCAAAGTTAACCTTGCATATCTTGTGGCTGTGTCAGTTCATCTATATGTTAACTGTAACCGCCTGTCCACCTTGACCTTTGACCTCAATTACTGTCAACCGATTTGGCTAGCGACCATCTCTCACCACAGGGGGATTCTGCTTCATTCTAACTCCTATTCCAAACCTAATCGAACGATTAACGCTAACCCCAATCTAACCTTTAACCCTGAAAGTAAAATTGATTAATAAACTGGATCAGCAGCAAACCATTCAAGAAAAAACTAGGGCGAAACAGCTGTCCAGTACTCCCAGGTTTTCCAGTGGTTCTCTAACTGACGTCAGCTCATGATGAAATCCTCTATCCAAAAACGTATACAGCACTCATGACTAGTGATATTATTGTTCGGGCCCATTTAGCGACTACTATATTTCATCTTCATCTTGTTTAGTTTATTTACCTTTGAGATTTCTTTGAGTTCCTCCTGATATACCTTTACCAAATGTCAACATCACAAACTTCAGATTTCGTATTCATTTTCCTGATGTTATTTGAATTATTCTCAATTATCGTTTCTAAATATTACTTTGAGTACGATGGGTATTTCTTTTCGTTGATTATTACAAAGATAGAGAGAGACGGGTAGGTAAAACTGTCGTGGAATTTATCGATGCATAACTATTTCCAATTCTAATAACCCTTAACTCAAGCATAGATTTTTAATGCTCACACTTAAATGCAACTACATTATGATCCTTTCTAATGCACTCTAATTCTGAGATTTATAAAAACATAATTAAAATATACCGAAATGCAAAGGAGAAGTCTTGGAATCGTGTATTATTAGTAAAACCTGAAACTCACAAAGTTGCGTCCATGCTTATTCTAACTGATGTCTGATATACACACATAAAATATTTATAATGGCAGCTGGTTAAAGTTAGGTGGAATGTACAGTGACATGTCATAATTGACAATACTAACTGAGCCTATTCTGATTAAATCAGAGCATTGGTTCCTGGTATATTCTTTACTGAGTTAGAAATTATCACAGAATAGAAACCATTGCTTAATAAGTTGGAGGATTTTATCATGAGCTGACATCAGTTAGAGAACCATTGGAAAACCCACCAAGGAGTACTGGACAGCTGTTTCGTCAGCCTAGTTTGGGACTCTTCATCAGTACGCACCCACTGGGGTTCGAACCCAAGCCAGCCCATGAATTCTAACTTCTGCCGATTCATGACATAGTGTGACCACTTCGCAATGTCTTCTTCAATGAGTTACTGCCTCACCTTTAACCTGCTACACCCCAGTGGTCACGGTTTCCCGCTAGAACTCCAGGTTAACTGCCTGAATACAGCCAGTCGCTAGTGAGCATCAGATTAATTTTCAAGTATTGGTTTTGTAGGAATTTTGTTTGATTGGTTGGAGGATTTCATCATGAACTGACATGAGTTAGAGAACCACTGGAAAACCTCGGAGTACTGGACAAAGAAAATCAACAAACATATCAAACGAAATTTCCTACAAAACGAATACTTGAAAATTGCTTAATAAGTTTACTAAAATACTATGAGCCTATATGTGTCTAACAAAAATTCTCTGTAAATGCTCTTAATTACCTCAAATTTATTAACTGTTGTAGCGTTAGGCATTATCCATAAAGAAAACAAATACAATGCTGTATGCAATACAGATATATTTGTCATCCAAGGGCTTTTTTAAAGACAAAAACAAAGAATACAAAGGAAAAACTTTATTGGGTGCCTGTTTTGTATTACAAATTTTTCAGTGAGAGAGAACTGTAAATGAGCAATATGTCATGATTTGCATTTTCTTTCAAAAGGTGATAAGGCGCTTTAGTCAGTAAATGACAAATTACACTTTAAGAAAAATTTCGTCAGTTCATAAAACCAATTACAAATAAATATTACATTTTTATTCCGTTAGTTGAGGAATTTTATACCATGTAAGTTAATAGTAAAAATCTATATTGCTGAAACTGGTTTCTGTCACCAACGATGGAACAGAATAGATTTCTTTAAAAAAAGTCAAACAATAGAAATTGGAAATATATAAATCCAAGAAATAATTTCGTTGAAACTAAAGTGAGTAATATTATCAATGAAATTTTTCTGCCCAATAAAACTGACTCAGCATTCTCACCGGTCCACTTTTATTGATCAGAGTTAATTTTTATCACAATCATTCTCCTAGTTTTACAGAGCTTTCAAAGACTTTTAAAAATCTGAAAGTTGGTTTCTACCCTGTTCAGGCATTTATACATATAAAGTTTGACAATGCTTTTGATTTTTGAAAGACGTTATCTCGTTAGAAAAAAACTAATAAATTTACAAAAGTAGTGAATGTAAAATATGAGTACCCAACAAAAATAAGGTAAAGTGCAAAAAAATCTAAGTTAGAACATAAAGACTTTAAGTAAGACATAAGTATGTAAATAAAGATTCTTCAAATAGAATTAGAATTTTTCTAAAGTTAATATTCATTCTCTTTCTTGAAAGAATGGTTTCCATATCAAGAGTTGTGTACTTGGTCATTGGTATTTTCAAAATAAATTTTTCAAGTCCACACCACTTCTGGAATCATTCGTTCAATACTTCCTACTGGACATTCAAGTGATTCATTTGCAAGAAAATCAGGATAAAAGGGTATTAAGTAGCCTTTAATTTCTTTAAGTAACTCAAGTGCTTTTTGTCGATCACTTCTTATCAACGGGATTTGATTTCTCCTTTCAACACATTGTCGAAATGTTAACAAATCCGATGCAGGAATACAGTTGAAAATCTATTTTAGTAAAAAAAAAAATAATAACAAAAAAATAGGACATATCTGATTGCATCGTTTTACTTTTACAAAGCATAAACATTAAAGCATGGATTCGTGCAAAGATAAGGTAAGCATAAATCAGAGATTGTAGTTTTTTAAATATACCAGATCTAAAAATAATAAGCAAAATATTGTTTGCTGCATATATATATATGTATTTATATACGCATACATCTGTTTATCAAATTTATAGTCATTTCAAAGAACAACTTGAATGACGTGCTGAAGTGCAGAAGTCAATAATAAGAATGACATAATGTTACTCCAGGTGACTAGAAAAAGTTTCTTATTATTAGGATGGGTTCATTACTTAATGAAACTCAATAGTTTACTTGTTATTCACACAAATATAATAAATACTCTGCACCCTTTATAACTGTTGCTTAAAGCGTATAAATAACTTATCGTCTGTTGTTACACCTTTCAGAAAGTTTCTGCAGAAGTTTAGCCTACAGCTTTCTCGTATACTGACTAAAGTAGAAAGTTTATGATTTGCCACTTAAAATATTTAACCTTGTTAATCAATAAAGATGTGAGGATGGTAGAAAACAAACATATATCAAGCTAAGTAAACATTATGTAAAAAAGGTCCAAAACAATATTTCCAACTAGATATTATGCATCTTCATTGTGTTTTGTTAACACTAATGACACAAATATTATACAGTTGTTAGGGGTTTACATTTCTTTGATTCTCTCATATATATACATATAATTTACTATATTTGTGTTCTGTGAACTGGATGGTTTAATTCCAAAGCCTCAACTGTCTATCTAGGCAACATCTTCAGCGCATACCTTAATTTGAAGTGAGCTTTAAGAATTCAACCACCTCTTCTGGTAATCTTGAGAGTGACTGGCTGATTCTGAGAATTTTTCCACTTCCTAGTTTACACGTAATGGTGCTGATTATTTTGTTGACCTGAAAGTGTCCCACCCACGTAACGTGTCCAAGTTTGCTGGTGGGTCATTGATAGAATTATGGTTTCAAGCCTTTGTATAACAGCTTTAGCAACCAGGCTTGATATGGGTGTCATATATTTGATCACTGAAGTGAAAATGTCTTTTAAAATATAAATCTATGTATTCCATCGAACTTGAACATTGTATTTCTGAGCGTCCAGCATTTATCATTGTTGAGTGATTATTGCATGGTTTTCTTTATTAGTTTTTTGTTCACTCAAAGTGTATGGTGCTGTGACGTTGACAGATCGTCATTTCCTTGAATGACTTTGATTTCCGCCGGAAATTGAGTTGGAGGTCTGATGGAGTGATCATTGGATTTGTTTAAATATTCTAGTTTTATGTAGAGTTCTTTTGACAAGTTGAAAGTTATGATTCAGGGAAATAAAACTATCGGTCTTAGGGGCACATTTGGTCCGCATACTTAAAGTCAAGAGTAAATTCTGAGTAGGAAAGAACTATTATTCGTCACTGATTGTTATTTGTTATCTTATCTACTTTGACAAATTTGTTTAGCGTTATCCAGGTTCGGTTATCCAATTTTTGAACAGAATATTTAGTGAGCTGTTGATATCTATCTTAATCTTTGAGCAAGTTTTCAGCCTATGTAGTGTATTCCTTTCATTTTGTACCATTTTTCATGCTTCTGTTTGACTTCTGTTCTTGAGAAGTTAGTTATGTAGGGTACTTTCGCTGTTTGATCTCAGGTGCTATAGATTGGCTTATCTCTTGTTATATATTTCTTCATTTATTCTGGATGATTTGCGCGATAATTCTACAGTGACGAATAAATCAATTTCTGAAGCACCAACAGTATTGTAGTTCATTTTTTTGTGAAGGAGTGATTGGTTCATTTTTGACTGTAGTCGTTTTGAAAAATTTGACCAAGTAATCAGTTGGTGCACCACCAGTTTCCTCTTTTGTAATCTCTGTTAATTTTTCTTCAGTAGCATTTCTTCTTTTTCTTTATGTCGTCTACTTGGTAATGCAATCACGACAGTTAACGTTGATAGGTGCTGTTTTCTGAAAATCTTTCTCACTTTTTACTTTTAAATGGAGATTACGAGTTGGCATTTCGGAATCCTTTAATGGTCATCTGTAGTGATTATTATGACTGTTGGTTTTTTCACAATGTCCAGATGATTTCCGTTCCAATGGACAATTGATTAGTGGTCTTTACCCGACAATGGTTGGTAGGATTCCATAAAGGAGGCCATTCATGGAGACAGAATAACTGATCTCTGATAGATACCTGACTTTCGCTAGGGTTTTCGTGTTTTCGAATGTTGAGCTCAGAGAACATAACTACACCTATATCATCCGTCTGAGCTACAAACCCTCACCATGGTATCTAAGTCGAATTTAATATATATGTATATGTAATGAAAAGGGTCAACTTCTGTTTTGAATTTCATAATATTAAAACATTAAGTTCGACGGCTTCATGACTATAAAAGATGTTCGAACATACTACATCTGTCAGATGAAATTGAGTAAAGTGACTTCAGGTTAAAGAAACTTTAAAAATATACCATTTATGGAAATTTGAGTGGTGAAAATATTGAAATAAATAAATTGTTTATAATATTTATCATTCAGTTCCATATAAGTGCTGGGTAAGTAATACATTCAAATAAGCATAAGCAGGATAATTAAGACTTATGACACAGTGGGAAATAATTTAGGCGAAGCTTTAAACCGCTTAAACCTTGATCAAGTTTGTGACAGCCATAAGGTTACACATTATAATGCTATCATTTATTAATTTTTCCACTTTACTTGACTTTTTCCACATTTTTGTCTCCAAATTCACTTATTCTGTCATCCTTTATTATTATGTTTGAGTTTCTTTTTCAGTTAAAGGAATCTTTTATTGCAAATTAACACTTTACTTTCAATTTTGATCAAAAAGTGGAGCTCTAAGAGTTATTCAAGTCAGAAATGTGTATGCACATCAGTTAGTAACATTAGTTCATCATTATGATATGGAATGAATGGAAAAATGTAGACAGCTTGATCTCAACTGAGTTATTTAATATCAACATGTTTATGATTTATGAATATTTTTTTTTATTCCTTTACATTCCCAGTGGAGCATACGGCTTCAAGCTAGAGGCTTGAAGATTCGATAGCAGTTGTGTTTATTTTTTACTGGATGAATTTGCTAGCCTCATGCTCAACCTCCCCTCATCATCAGTTTTATTACTGGCTTTGCGAGGTGGAGGAGCCGGGGATCGAACCCCAAACTACATGCATGATTGGCGAGCATTCTACCACTGTGCCACGGAACGCACTATGAATATTGTAAGCTAGTGTACCTTGAGAGTTTCATACATACATTCAGACTAGCAATTAAGCAAAGGCTTTTTAAATACTTAAAGTTTTCAGATTACATCAATTATTCATTTGATGCTATAGAACTGTGAATCAAAAGCAAGTTTAGTAAGTATGTTTCACTATCATTCACAGTTTAATTAGCACATGCAATAAGTGTTATTTTTCATATTAAAGAGCAATGGATTCCATAAGTGTTTCCTTAATTTTTTTTTCTAATAAGAAAGTGTAATGTGTTTCATCTACTTAACATTGAAAATGATATCCTTATCGTAATGTGTGTATGGAATTTTAGTGCATACAGGTATGCATTTGTTTATGTTCCAATGAAAGTATTAATCCCTGGATTCAAAATTCGCTATAAAAAAATTTTTCGAATACATAGTTTTTGCAAAGTAAATGCTTTTCATAAAAGTAGACAAAAAAGAAGCAACGACAAAACAATTGTGCTCACTTTTTCAAAAAGTTCTCCATTACTAACAGCAGTCCCATTCCATAAATTATGAAAAAATCCATCTGATACTGGATCATCTAATAAGTCATGATTCATACTATGTCTAGATTCTCTTGAAGATTTTGGTAATATTCCAAGAAATTCAGCCATTAAACTTCTTCGAAATCTTTGTACAAATGGATGAACTTTTACATCTATCCCGTTAAATTTTCCATCAATAAGATCATTGTCTGAGTTACTTTCAATTATGATGCCTAATTCACTGTCACGAAAACCCAGCATACTGCGATCATTTATATTAGCTGATCCTAGAATCATTTTTTTATCATCAATAATCATCACTTTACTGTGAACATAAATCAGTTCTGATTTCTGAAATAAGAAAAAAAAATAGAAGAGGATGAAAAGCAAACAAGTAGAGAACTATTCGAAGAGATTTACCATCCTAATAAAAGAACATCATTGTTATAAACATTTGAGAATTTAAAAATCTTCAAAGACTTTATTTCAGTAACATGTTAATCAAAAATACGTATTCGTTAAAATAGTCTAAACAAAGGCATTTGTAAAAAATTATATTTGTAAAATCTCAGCGAGATTGAAATGAGTAATTCCAACGTTTCGTTCGGCAATCTAGTCGGAACTTCTTCAGGGAAATTAATCGAAATTAACATAACAGAGGTTTATATGTAGAAGGAACATCACTTGTTTTTAAAAACTTTGTCCAATCATGAGTCATTCAAAAAGTATCAACATGCATAATAAACAAAATTGTATGAGCTGTGTTCAAAATTTGACCTCGGACTTACAAATATTGGTCTACCTTTGTTAAACACTTTAAACAGAGTGTGTATGTGTGTGTGGGTAAACAGTTGTAAAACATTTCTTAACGTTTCCATAAGAAGATATGGACAGTCAAGAATTTTGACCAAGTATTAATAATTAGTGATACATATCCATTTTTTATTTATTAATAAGGGTTTCCTATGCATCAGCTAACATCACGCCTTCATGTTTGTTCAAACTGTTAGTATCTAGAATTTTATGATTAGACGTATTTTCAAAATGATGGTGTTTAGGATTAGAGTTTAATAGAATTACTCATTCCAATCTCGCTGAGATTTTACAAATATAATTTTTTACAAATGTCTACTTCTCACTCGGCGCCCAAATATTTTAGAACTATTCTGTCAAATGCTGACGACAGTTCATTTGAATCTAAACAAAGGCATTTAAAAAGTATTATTAAGAAACTTAGAATTCGCTTTACACCTTTTTAGAAATTAGGAGAAGTGTTTTAAAGTATTTTCCTACTGAGCTGACTTTTTTAGGAGAGCTCAAACGATAGAGTCTGCTGTGTTTTGTGAAATGATTATCTTTCTGATGTTGATTACACAGTACCTAACTATGCACATATTTTGAGGATTAGAAATCCAAATTGAGTGATATAAAACAAAAGACTTTCGGCGAAGAGTTACTCTTTTCAGCGATATCATTCTCCAGCTGTACAATAGCCCAGTGTCTGGATTCGACCAGATGTTCTAGAATAGAACTACGGGAGCAGTTTTTATTCCCTCGGTAAACCCATAAGAGTAAGTGATCGATGATGCGTTTGGATAGCGAAATGTGAGTATGGCCGATATACCTACCTCCATTGGAGCAGGTGAACTGATAGGTATACATTTATGAATGGTCTGTTTTGGAGACAAAATTAATCGAAGTTCAGACGCAAAGAAGGTTTCCTTTAATGACTGGGACAAGCGGTTTCTAAGTGTTACTACCAATGACTATGTATTGAACTGCAGAATCAGATAGAGAAGTGTCTCGGGGAACAAACCATGTGCGGTTTTATTCAAGTAGGCTTCACAGATTTTGTGATGAAGCGTTAGGGATAGTTTTTTTCACTGAGAATCCCTTTCAGAATGTTCAGATCTACTTTCATGGTGTCAGCTCTGCAAATGTTCCAGATTCTATGGCTCATTGAACAGATAAGACTTCGTCCTTCTTAGACGAAGAAAGTCAATTACATTCTAGTGATCCAATAAGCGAATCGTAATTTAGGTTATTCCTGTCAGTTGAGCAGTTCGGTGTTGCCCAACAAATAAACAAATATAAAAGGGGAATAGAGTTTTATCATTATGTTTAAAGATGTCAGGATTTATGAGTTAAACAGCTGATACTTGAGTCGAGATTACAAACAATGAAAGTAAACACAAGGCGCTTAAGCTACATAAGTAAAAAGAAAATAAACAATGGATAAGTCTTTATCACTGCCATGCATCATCACTTCTGTTAGCTACACCTAACTGCAGATGAATTTTAGTCATCCTAGTGACTACAGTAATTAATGATACACTTCCCTCTGAAGACCTGAATCGAAGTTCAAAGGATTGGCAGTTCCCTACTATTCTTGAACTGCATGAAAATAATATCTTCTTTGAAAAAGTGATGAATATGTTTACAATTTAGGCTCCTGATAGTCTTGTAACTTTATTACTGTTGAAGCTTTGAATTCTTGAAACGGAGGTGCTAGCTTTGGTCAGAATTTCAACATCAGTGCTCATTCCGAAAACAATAAATCTATAAGGACTAATTTTGTTTATTTTTTTATTCCTTAACGTTCCCAGGGGGACACAGGGTTTCAAGCTAGAGGCTTGAAGTTTCTGTAGCAGTGTTTATTTTTACAGGATGGGATTGCTAGCCTCATGCTCGACCTTTCCTCTTTATCAGCTTTATTTCTGGCTTAGCGAGGTAAAGGAGCATGTCAGCCGGGGATCGAACCCCGGACCATCTGCATGGTTGACGAGCGTCCTTACCGCTGTGCCACCAACGCACTAATGAAAATTTCTTGGTAGTTATTCATAACTACTACACTATCCCGAACATATATATATATATGACGATTGAATGCTACCACATTTTTGTCAATGATGCAATTATGTCCACGGTTTATCTACCCAAAACCATGGCTAATCAAGATGGAACCCAAGCTATTAGATGGCATTAATGGTTTTTTGAGAATATTTAATCGTTTGACTGCACTTCAGATTCTGTTACATCTTTACTTCTGTCTTAATGCTCACTGGGTGATTCTTCTGAAAATATTCTCTAGTGTCAATAAAAATAATTTGTTAACTATCATGGATATATATCTGTGGTACCTGATGAAGTCATCGAAAAAATTCTTTGATTAACAGTTATTTTTTCTAAATTTTAATAAACCTTTTTAATCAGTTTGAATTACTTTCAACTGTTATGCCCAATTACTGTAAAGAAATCGTGTCCTACTGAATGTCATACTGGACCTTTGATAAGTATTTCCACCTTAAATACCATCGAGAAACATCTCGTATGCAGAATGCTTTTTATACGAACAAAATATTACAGCTTAATGCGGATGAAAAGTTTTCATCTACAGGCTTTATTACATTGATAATGTGTTTTAAAACATTTCATTGACATATATAAGCATAGCAACAAATTTATTTACTGAATAATTTTTGACATACTATTGTACCATCAGGCCATTCATCATACGTTCGTAAGCTGCATATTGAAACGTAGTCTTCAGGGTTTGGTATAACTTGTTTCAGTCGTGGAATCAAAGCATATTCACCGACAAACAAGCTTTGTCTAATATACTTTAGAATTACATGAATATAAGTCCCAGAGGAAGTCCCAACTTCACCTTTGAATGCAGTCAGTGAAGGCAGCACTATGTACACACGGAATGAACGCCCCTCACTAAAATAAAGAAATAATTGGATGTAGAGTGCTTATTTTAAATATTTTTGGTCATCTTTGTGGAACATATCAGCTAATAAAATTTTTGAATCACTAGGAAAATACCATATAGCAAAGTCAAAGGAATTACATTCATGGTAGGTTTAACGCTATAATATTTTATAATCACTAGATTCATCACTAACCGTCGTCTAGTTGACAAGATCAAAATTATTAATGTAACATGCTTTAACTGAAGTATCCAATCCTAACAACTCCATGTACAATAAAAATAATCATAAACTAAGCTTAAATTATGACCACATCTTGCGAAAAAAAGATATTTAGAGAATTAATTAACATTAACAGTGACAAAGTGGTACCTATAATAAATGCATAATTTATTGAAATAAATCCCAGTTGTGTTCCGAACCATCAACTTTATCATTTTCCCATCCACGTAATATAAATGAAAAATCAGACGTCTTGTCTGAGGAACAAGCGAACAAAAGTAGAAACGAAATTATACAGAAAACCAACTCAAAGAGATCAAATATTTATACACAACAACAACATCCCAACAGTATACAAAACAAGTTACATACAAGCATTATTCAAAAGATCCAGGATATATTGAATCACTCCTGTCTTTAAGAGGACAGAGGAGAAATATCTTATGGTGGTCTTCCACAAAAGATGATATCTTGATAGATAACCACAAAAGTGGTTATCTACATAATATCATCAAAAGATATCTACCATCAGCCCAGCAGACCAACCCAAAACATCTGAGTGAAAGCACCAAGAAAATCGTCTAATTATACCTGAAAAATATCTCTACATTCAACACAAGATTTTCAAAAGTCTTAGTAGGAATGGTAGTCATAAAATAACAAAATCACTTCAATATATGCCATGTTAACTAAGAGACGCAACAATGAAAGAAGGTAAAACCAATGTAATCTTCAGGAGAAACTGCAACAGCAGTGAAGAACATTATATTGGCCATGGTGGACGCCCACTTTGTCTTCAGATGCACGAATAAAAACGAGCTTTCAAAATACATGATATCTGTCGTCTCATGTTGACAACTACGAGCATCAATTCGACTGGAAAAATGTACGAATCTTACAGAAAAACAAACTCCAAAAATGTCAAAGAATTCCTAGAAGCCTCAGACTCAAATGAATTCGCACTGAGAAGAGATATCAACATAGACCAAATTTATTGAACAAAAAAGAATAAGCCACACGACAAAAAAGTCAAATTCCAAGTAAATAAAATGACCGATACTGTCGTGTGCATTAATAAATAATCACAACCAAAGTTCTTGAGAGAAAAACGATCCTATCATTAATAGAGAATTCAAATACATGTACTTCATGCCGAAGTTTGCGCTAAAGATATTGTCTAGGAAGACACTGAAAGCTTCTGATATAAACCATTCATCTCAAATAACACAATTACACCAATATTATTCATCTGGGCTACAACTGTCTTAATAGTTAAGACTACTCCTCGCAGAAATTTAGTTTAATATTTGGAGTGTACAATAATAGCTGAAGTCACTCTAAGTACACTCCATTTATTCCGATTAATTAATATTACTCTAAAACGTTAAAGGGCTTACAGTACATTCTCATTCCAATATATACATATATATATATATATATATATACTGTAGTCTTTCACTGCATGATTAAATATCAATATTCACTAGTTTATTTAGGGCATTTCAGTTAAAAGATGTCTTTGAGTTGACAATTACAATAATTACTTCAAACTACTACTAAAAGCAATTGTAGGTAACAGATATTTCCAGCTCAGCGACCACTGCATGTCCATTCACAAGAAATGCTTTTTATAATCCCCGTATATGTAAATTACGACTTCATGTTAAGTGAGTTTATGAGATAAAACGCAATGATACAATGTGATTTATTTATTGATGATCTTTTGAGCATAACTGATCACTCATAACCGCATCACTGTTTTCACACAGATTTCTAATTTGTTTATGTCGCTTTACTCCCCCTAGTTTTCAACACGATCTTCCATATATCTTGTACGGTTGCTTTATGGATTCTATAGTAGGTATTTGGCTTTGACTCAATCGATAAGGATTTCATGACTAAACTTTCTCTTTACTTAATCATATTACTTTTCTCACGTCTACTCTACCTGAACCTTTTGTGTGATAACATGCAGAAGCATTCATCGTACTAAATGATCGTTTTCCTAGCTCGATTAACTAAGCGAGGTTCATTATTCTAGATCTAGACAAATTTCTAGGTTCTGATAACCTAACTGACTCCGATCTACTAGTTTTTCCCATGTAGTTAGCCTCAAAGTCACCACATGGTATTTAAATTATAAATTATATTATTCTCACTAATTAGATCAATCGCATACAGTTTACTTCTGAGTCAGTTGGTTGATTTAAATGCCACCCTAATTCCAGTCTTATCAAAATCCTACCCAGGCTTTCTGATATCCCTTCCTAATATGACAGTACTATCGAGGCTTTACGTTCTTTATTACTCATACTATTTCCATTATATACATTTCTGTGCCTATTTTTCTTACAGGTCACCATACGTTTTTGAATGAATTCTTGTGGATAGTTAATCCATAGAAATGTTTCTGTTTTTTGTTTATTTTTATTATTCAAATTTCCGGACTCACTAATCAGTCTCCTGGGTTGTTGATACTGTAAACCTAACCACCCACATTTAATGACTTCATGTGGAGTGATCCTACTCATCATATTAGGAAATCTCTGTGTTACTTAGTACAATCGGTAATATCATTCAAATAACTTTATTACTTCTGAGAAATTGATGGGTGTTTTGCTGCTCTGTCACCCTGTTAGTTAAAAGCGTAAGTTTTAGACCGTATTATATTGCTTATTTTATGATGCCTGGGGATGGGTTTTTGATTTTGAAAAAAGACAGCATGAAGTATGTGATTATCATACATTATCATACACTAACAAACAGCCTTTTCGCTAAACTACTTGTTTTGTTTTCTTATTAAAATATAAGGCGTAAATTCATATCCATTGAAGGATTTACGCAAACCATCTCAGGCATAGTTTTGTGAATGTTTTTGCATGCCTCTGTTATTAACGATAAAATCGTACAAATTAAATAACTTAAGTTTCTAGATCCATAATATCTGTTGCCAGTTTATTTTTCCGTATTCAAAATACTTTTCTTAGCAGATGAAAGTCACTTTATTACATAAAAATGTATTGACCATCTTATCGTTGTGTTAATAAACATCTACACGAGAATAAAACCTTTTGCTATCTAGTAACACTCAATATTTATACTTTTGGCACCAAACTGCTGAAGTATACATCTACTTCCCCTCCCAACGTACATATTCTGTACAATTTAGAAATTTAGAAGAAAAATCGTGATTTACATTTAATTCATAAAAGGAGCACAGTTTCTACTTCACCATGAAATACACTCAGTATTTTAGGATTTCTACAACAAAACTCTAGTTATAAAATTTTGTGGTCATCACTATAAAAGATAAAGCTTATCTGTTCGAACAACCACGAATAACTTTGATGGTAAACTGACTCACCAACTTAACAAAGTAGAATTTTGAAAATATTGCATGATTTCATGTTACCACACTTCGGGCAGTGCACACATAAATGCAGAACAAATTTCTAAATAAAACTACTATAGACGAAGATGCAAGTGAGAGAGTATTATAGAATGAACAGGATTTGCGTGATGACAAGAGGTGAACACATTTATACCATTGTAATAATGCGTAAATTTTATGAGAACTTAAATTTTTATTAGGATGTAAAAGCACTGGTGTCAGTACTTATTATTATTATTCCTTTGGGCTTCGAGTGGAACATAAGGAATCAACAGCATATTAGAGTTTCACTCTGATATTTGTAGTCTTATTTAACTGGCTGTCAGTACTTAAAACAAACAAACGAAAGTAATATGTGTCCTTAACAGTTATTCCATGCCCACTTATTTCATATTTATGGCGGCATTTTGTGTAGTGTCTTCTGGGGACGTGATGAAAGTTTTGTGTGGTCCATAAACCTGAGAAAACAAAACAGAAATCTGAAATAATGAAGATACTATTAGAAGCAACTTTAAGGAAGAGATAACTTGTCTCGAATACTATAAGCCGACTAAATCTAACAAGAGTCACGGCACTGTATTTAAATATACCAGCTACTTGTCCTCCCAAGAAATGCTCAGACATTGTTCACTGGTCCAGTTAAAATGTTTTAAGGTACACCTGAGACTGTTATTAGTGTGAATCCTACCGTGTTTAGACTTCAATAATTATGTTGTTATCAATTTGAATTACTGCATACACGTACTTGTATAGTATAATGGAATAATAATTACTGGTAGCTGCATAATACACTACATTATTATTTAAGCCATTTAAGTGTACTTACTTGTAAGCTCGTAAAATCCTGAGATAGATTGCTTCACATATACGATTTTTAACCAAACCACTAGAGTGGCTAGGTGGTAGATAATCAGATGTTGGCTTATCAGAACATTTTCCCTCTAAGACGTCTTCGATTGAAAAACCTGCTTGTTCGTATTCTTCTAGTGACCCAAGAATGTAGCTAACAAAATACTGATTTTCGATGTATATAAAATGTTCTGCTTCTTGTATAGTAGTAAGATATGCTGACAGAACAGACTTTTCCAATCCTATTTGGTGTTTATTCTCATCCGAATGCACATCTTTAATAGTTACAGTATGTAAATTTTGATGGAAAATTTGTCGGAAAGATTCACGAAATCCTTTCTTGTGAGCTGATTGAATTCCCAACGACCAGTTGGCAACACTTCGTAATGCCTGCACTGTACAAGTTGTTGACTGTCTTGGGTCTACAAGAACTGTGGATAGTTTTGTCTCTGTCCATGGAGAACATGGGTGCGATGGCAGTAAACCGGGCACAAGACGCTGTATTATTCGTTTTGCACTGCCACGTGGTGCAGATTTGATCTTTCTGGCCTGAAAAATTTAATAGCATATAATTATTCACTTACGGACTTTAAAACAAACAAAAAATAGATATAAACTTCAGTTTGTTAAGAGTTGATCATTCAAATGAACAGTTATTTCTTATTAGATTTTCTCACTTCTTGTACCATGTATTAATAAAACAAAACGTCAATAAGTGATGCTAGTTGTATAATTCATCGTCTCTAACCACACCTAGATGGTTTTTGAAACAAATAACACAGCAATTATGCAGCACTAACCTCAGATTTATGAAATTTGATGAATGGTAGAAGTGAATGATACCTGCACTGTACTGTAATGCACTAATTTAGACAGATAGCGTAACTACATAAAACGATATGTACGCACACTGTTGCCAGAAACCGGTATTAGATTATTACAGTTCACTAAAAGTGCCTTGTTTTCATAATTTAGTGTGACTGAAGGTTTCGTATATAAAGAAATTAATTAGTAATAAATTGTTAAAGTTATAAAATATTTTAGATATTCAGTATTACTAAGATAACTACTTTTTGTAAATATACAATTCATCCTTCAGTATACTATACAATAATTTTAAAAAATTCATACAAACATGTGCACAATAAACTAATAACCTTATCTATTCATTTACTAGACGCATGACATTCCAAGCTGTAGTCAGAGTAACTGAGAGAAATGCCTGCCTTCTTATTGGCCAGAAAATATTTTTGTTGAAAAGGAAACCACAAATTTTTACACTACAAATGAGATGCTCTTCTGAATAATCAGTCAGCAAAAGTTCTAAATGGGCAGTTATAATGAAAGCCATTTACGATTAAATTATAACAAGGTAACTGGTTATATTACATTAAGGGTCAAAGCAAAGTCCATTTATCACACGAATAAATTAGCCAGCACAATGTTGATTTCATTGAAAGAATAAGTACATTTAGAAATGCGGATGTCTTAGTGAAGCTTCCTAATTGGCTGCGCAAAGGAAATCATACAGTTAATAATTCATCTAACCTTTAACTTGTAGCTGAACACAACCATCTCATCTCCGATGGATCCTTCAGTATTACTCAAAAACTCGGCTAAAATCCACCGGAATATAATCAAATGCATTTACTTTATACAGCAGAAGACTAAGTAATATACAAGATGAAACCAAAAGCTTATCTGTGCAAAAGCAATTTGTACGGGCCTTTCAGCTACCTTATATTTAATTTATCATAATAAATAGACGAATCACAAGATTTATTTCATCCTTATTCAGTTTCATTTTATTTCACCTTACTTTATCACCTTCTAAAATTTTTATCATAGTTTACTTTTTATTTGTGGAAGAGGAGCTTCCAAGTTGAGGTGACATAGTTTTTAGCCTCCTGATCATATAACTCAATGCAAGCGAGTTCCTTTTTTTACAGTAGACTGAGACGTTTTACATTCAAATGTGAATGAGATCAGCAACTAAAATTTGTAATGAGCACCTTAAAATTTCAAGCAGGTTCTAAAAACACTCTCTGTTTGCAAAATAACACTGAAAATGCAAAAAATTCACATCACAATATGGTAATTTGTTTGACACCGTAAATGATGCGAATAAAGCAAGTAAGGTCTACAACGTGACATGTATCACTGGTTGATATGACATCACATCAACCAGTGGCTAGATGGAGGTGATCTAAACTCATTCTGATTTCAGAGCTGAATAAATGTGAGTAAGCTATCGATGAATTTTGCCCTCAGTGAGCGAAATAGCACTCCGGTTCTTAGAGTGCCTTGAGTTGACTAGTAGACATCAAAGAACAACGTGAATGGTTTCAAAATACTCAAATTAATCAACAGTATGTGACCACTAATTCCTTTACGCACACTCCAAAGGTTGTTTTTTCTAGGTAGAACTCTGGAAAACAATTTAAGTTAGAACCCCTTTGCATGTATGCAAATAAGTAAATAATTTTCCATGAAACTAAAGGGGAACTACACGAATGAAGTTTGTAACTTTGAATGACTACCTTTTTGACAATGAGGATCTCCTTACAACAGCAATGATTATTAGATATTTTCACGAAATATTGCCACCATAAACCCATGAAATTTAAAGGTCTCAATGAAATCCACAATTCGTTTAAAAATCAGTAATCAGTTAGATCTATCAAACTTTATTATTATTGTAATTTCCTTTAATTCCTAGAGGAATATAGGGCTTCAGCCACACGTCTCCATTGCGTTCGGTTTTCTGTCAACGTTTTCACCTGGCTCCACGTCTGGCAACATGCTTTCATCTCCTCTTCACATGAACTCCTCCATGTCACCCTCGCACTGACGACCAACCCGCCGCTTCCCATTCTGGTTCCACTCGAGAGAGATCCTGGTGTGGGATGTCATTTGATGGTTTGTTTTCACAGAGTATAGCCAATCCACCTCCATTTCCTCCTGCATATTTGTTGTACAGCTGGTTCCTGGTTGGTTTGCTCCCAGAGATCGCTGTTGCTGATCTTTTTTGGCCTTCAGATCTCGATAAAACTTTAACATAGTTATAATCTGCTTTCCCTGGTTTTCTAGAAAGTTACTGAGATCGAAAATTTTGGTAAAAATCAAGATAGCCCCCTCCAAGAACAAGTCTTTTTGAGTGAGGAAATTACATCAGATTCCAATTTAATATTAGATGTCATTTAACTTATATACACAGCCTCATGTCAAACTGTTAAAATAATATTTAACTGGGTCTCTGAATTATGGTGATTCCAGACATCTTAGACAACTTTGTTTTAACAAGTTACTGCTAATTTATGCCGCGGAAACTTTACTAGATGTTATGATTCGTATAGCAAGGAACCCAGGTCCTAGATTTTGTCCTTTTTGGCTCTGATAAACAAGAAAACTGAGTCTGAAGCTTCTTATCGACTGAAGTTTAACATCGTATATAGCAGTATGGCTTATAGAAGCATACTACACTGTATTGTTTTATTATTTATTGACCACACTTTTCACTTGACCAATATACTTTGATCAGTGCAAACACAAGATTAGACAGTTACTTCAATAGCAATGTATGGACATATTTGACCTGAATCACATCATGTTGACTCATTCAGCTCTAGATACCAGAGAATCTAGTAGCATAAAAATTTCAAGATCTTTCACACATATTTTAATAAATGTTAGGTACTTTATATGATTAAAGCACACCAAAGTCGCAGTATTTCTTATGGTTACAACTAACCTATACTCAATGAGATTTGGCTATATTATGTTTATGATCAAGTTTACACCATTTTAAACCGGAAAGAAATGAGTAATAGATTTTGTTTTGTTTCTATTTCGTTGAAAAAAGGAAATTTTATTCCTTATTTTAGATCTAAGTGCTAGAATGAACTTTAACCTCTTTTAATCCTCTCTATTTATTTATTCCGGTCTACAACACTATCTAAAATAATATCATCATTGATGTCATAAACTTGTCAGAAGACATAAAACAGAATTTTTTGAAAAGTTCACAAATATATATATTTGTATATTCAAAATGAGTTTGATTTTAGTACACTTGTGGTTAATGGTAGCTACCTAACTCACAGCATTAAGAATCAACCAATATACAAAGTGTTTTCAGTACAGCCACAACAAATCAGACTGAAATTTTCTACAAACAGGGCTTATATTCATTTTACGAGTTGATCATGGACTGATATCAGTTAGAGAACCATTGAAAACCAGGGAGTACTGGACAGCTGCTGTTTCATACTAGTTTTGGGAATCATCGGCAGTACGCACCCACTGGGATTCGAACCCGGGACCTTCCTTACAAACCAAACTATAGAAAATTATTCTGATGCTCGCTAGTGACTTGCTACAGGTTGGAACTTCCTGCAGTTCTAGTGAGAAGTCGTGACCAGTGAGGTCCAATTAGAAGTCACGTGTGGATGGATTTCCACCAACGACAATAGTTGGGGTCGCGCTAAAATCACGAATTGGTAGAAGTTAGAATTCATGAGCCATTGAAACGGGTCCCAGTGGCTGAATGGTATATGAGCTTACCTTGTAACCGGAAGGTCCCGGGTTCGAATCCCAGTGGGTGCGTACTGCCGATGATTCTCAAAACTAGGATGAAACAGCAGCTGTCCAGTACTCCCTGGTTTTCAATGGTTCTCTAACTGATATCAGTCCGTGATCAACTCGTAAAACAAAACTAATCCTTACAAACCAAACTATAGAAAATTATATTCATTTATTAAAGCATTTTATGAAGATTATCATACTGCGATTTAATATTTTCTAGGATACTTTTTGTAAGCAAAACAAAGTATAAAACAGTGCTAATTTTATAAACATGTAAGAGCAATGATAAAAATTTTGAAAAAAAATAGAGAATTTAACTCATTGGTGGTTGGTAGAAGACTAAATACATCAGTATATTGATTACTTTGTGTGTGATTAATTGTAAAAATACTTTCAGCATACTTTTAACCTAAACGAAACCCACCTCTTAACACAATGTGAAATAGTTTTAAAATACACTGAGATCTACAATTAACAGGAACGTTTCCTTCACCTTAGTGAAAACAATTTCAGAGATTAGGAAGCAGTAATCACAAGTAAAACTATTTTATAATAAAACAACTGAAACCGTGAACGTAAATACATATAAATATACATTAAAATATCATCATTTGTGTGCAAGAAACAAAATGAAGCGTAATTCTTTAATTAGTTGTGTTCTTTGAACTGGTTGACTGAATTGTTAAAATTTCGTCATCCTTCTAGACAACATCTTCAGAGAAAGTTTTAATATAATATGGTTATTACTTATTTTATTCTTTTTCGTTCTCAGTGGAACATAGGGCTTCAAGCTAGAGCTTTAAAGTTTCGGTAACAGTGGTGTTTATTTTTACGGGTTGGGGTTGCTAGTCTTATGCCCAAAGTTTCCTCTTTACCAGTTTTATAATTGACTTAGCGAGGTAAAAGAGTGCGTCGACCGGGGCTCGAACCCCGGACCACATGCGGAGTCGGCTAGCATTCTACCACTATACCACCGACAAAGTACAAAATGAACTTATCTGAATTTTCCATGAATGATGTAAATGTATCTCCTGGCGACCACTGTCGTGGCTGGCTGCTAATTTACGTCTCCAATGATCATTATTATTGGCCTGGAATTATAATTTTCTTGTCATATGATTTACTTTTAATCAGATGGTAAATCTGGCATATAGTGATATGTCTGTTGATTGTTAATTCAATTGAGTACCAGACTTCTAGTACCAGACGTCCCTGGCATTTTTGGTGTCTCCTATATTTAAAATTTCTACATTATCTACATTAACTTAAGTCTGTCGAAAAACCAAATACGGTCATCATAAACCTTTAAAAAAAGATTTTCAATTTACATATTTCAAGGAGTTTTCTTTGAAAACCAAATTATTCAGAACACAATATGTGATCTGGTGATTCAGATGAGTAGTTGTGTACCACTCATATCAACCACTAGTGCTTGTTAGCCAGACCGAAGTGAGCTAAGCACCTGATGGTCTTTTCATTCATCTGCGGCCACGTTTATCAGCGTTGTACCCGGTTTGGCTGACCTCAGAAAGCCGAATCATTTCAAACCACCCAATTTCTAGCTGGCTGTTTAAGTTGACTTGTAACACCTTAAATTCAGTTCACTATTTGAAACTCACACAGTCCGAGTCCTATGTTCCACTCGAAACTCAAAGGAATAATGATAATATATAGGTGACTTAACAAAATGTTTGTCTCTCAAAAGTATGAAATCCTAGTTGTATTTACTAAACGCTTGTCGTATGCGACTAAATACATGGGCAGTTTTTGGTACAGAACTAAAACTATGTGAAATTAATACATGTGAAGAACTTCAAAGAGGTGGAGATTAATAGCTTTATAGCAATTCGTATATTTGATATATCACACAACGGAATAGTATTATTTATGGATGACGCTTCGAACACAGTTTGCTGCGTTCATAGTCCAACTGAATCTACACAACTTTGGAATTCGGGTTTTTGTCAGTATCATCCTTCCTTCCGATTTGTTGTAATAGTGGCAGAATTTTTTACGTATCCGCAACAGGTGTTGAATGATTCGTATTGCATGTTTCCTTAGTAAATTCACTGAATAAAAATTCAATTATAAATTTATCCTTCCACTTTGGTCTGCTAACTCGATCTGATTAGAAAAGAGCTAATTAGGATAGCGGATCATAATAACTTAACAAACTCCTGACCCTATTAACGTGATTGATTTAGGAAAAATCTCAATTATAGTACTACATGCAGCTCCCCACCAGCACAGAATAAGACAGGATCAAGTGACAGTCTTAAATCTCAGTTTAACAAGTTGGAGAGAGAGAGACTGATGACTAGGGCTTTATTTTCCAAATCCACCCATAATACACGCAGTGGGTATGATTCAACACATGTTCCAAACATCTGTTGATTCTATGACCCTTACGAGAAATGGATAGTAACGATGGTAGTAACGAAAACCGAGTTTCCAAATTATGTAATTACGGATGATGTGATTATAAAAAATAAACCTTGTTCGAAATGCAGTCCAGATAGCGACTTGGAGTGTTATCTTTCCACACTTAAAAGCTTTCTGTCATTTGAACTGCCTACCTTCCTAGCATAGATTACATAACAACTCCGAGCTACATATCGACATCCTTCCCCGCTTTATCGAATAAGGAAAATGGATGTAACGCATCATAGAAATAGTACTGTGAAATCCATGTCTCTTAATAGTGTTTCTTGAATCTGCTTCACATATTTAACTATTCAAAGATATCCAGAGAATTAGACAGAAATTTCCCTATTTACAGGTATAAATAAATGGTGTCCTAGTGTAATCATAACAGTGGAAATTTTCAATGAGATTATGTGTAAATAACAGCTGTATTCTATTCAATAATAAAGTAGAAATTAGGCTAAATAAAAGAGTATGGAAAAGTGGTAATCTAGGCTTTTGTATTTCTGGGTGTTGATAGTAAATTTTTGATCGGGTATATAATGTGTAAGATTCATTAATATCGTATCATTTTATGGATGTCAGCCATTAGGGGTGAATAGACGGTAAACCCGTCAGTCTTTATTCCATGTTTGTTGAAAGTCACCGTAAAGACATATCTTCCGTATGAAGGAATCTCATATCCCCTTTAGAAACAAAACTCTGATAATTAGTGGTAAAGACTTCATTATTGAACTTGATGTCTGATTCATCGAGCTGTTATTCTGTTAGTTTCTGAAACAGAATTGTGTGAAGACCCTATTAAAACCGAACTTTCTTTATAAAAAGGTCAAAGTGTCAATAAGTTGGACTTCTACTTGACAGACCCCCAGAGTAATCGTAATGCTTCACAGTGATTGCTTATGTTTCGTTCCCAAAGAATCTGTTGATAGAACACTATCATTCTTTTGTTCACCCAGCAACTCAGGGTATTTTACACTGTTATTTCACAAACACTATGCTTAAATTTATTATTCAAAAGACTAACTTCCCACGAAATAATCTATTAGTAAAACTGATGATAGGATTCACTTTAAAAACAAAAATACAGTGTTTAGCAGTAAGTCTATATAAGTGACGGACTAAAAGGTATTTATCATTTATCCTCTAGTTTTAAAAATCATTTGTGTTAGTGTTATTAACCAATAAAATATACTAAATAGACTGTAAGGCATATGAATAATAAGGAATGACAAAGAAAACTCTGTATAACTAATGTTTCCACAAACATTTTGTTAAAAAATGTTCCCCATGCTTCAGAGTATTAGCTACTCATATCCATGTATTTTTTATCATGGCACTTATTATAAAACGAGAATAATTTAACTTAAGTTTTATGTTTACATGAATATGATTAATTTCAAGTACATTTCATCATGAAATGACCCTAAAGCCTCTGTACATTCAGTATATCACCTCAGGCTCGTTGTTCAGAAACTAAAATGAGAAATCATGACTGCTGAGGTTTACCAAGTCAGATGTGAGGACACTGGTGCCATTTGAAAAAAGTGATAGAAGTTATAATTCATAGATCTTTAGAATCTGGCGAAGTGACTGAAGTGTTCCACGACCAGTCTGAAGGTCATACGTTCTCTCTGATGCAAAGACACAAGCTAGGAATAAATAGATAAACAATTCTCCTTGGTTTTCAGTAATTCATCAAGTGGTTTCACTTCGTAAATAAATATATACTGTGACATTTTACTGTCAGAAGACTCTATGCATGTGAATTATAATGAGTGATTAGTTCCAACTCAGAATTTCACAACAATGTGTTTGTATCATCATTTCTTATAACATGTGTATTAGCTAAGCGTAAGTAGATATCACTTAGTATTTTGTGTTCTTTAACCTCATGACACTGATTAATCGGATTTGTGAAGGAGAGAAAGAATCTAATTTACACTCTTCTGTTTTAATGTCACTAATTACACCGGCCTAGTTATTCCTCAGCAGTACTTTTATGCGTTATATGTCAAATTACACTCAAGTACAAATGTATGCATACATTATGCTCAGTGATTAATAATCAGAGTGGGTTGAATATGTAAAATTTTATATAATGTTACAATTGCACTTTATACCTTTTAAGTATGTACAATATCTAGATAAGCACAAAACAATTATTTTGCCTAGTTTATATTATAGGTGTTACTAAATTTTTAATATATATATAAGAACAATGTAAACCTCAGTCAAAATTTCGTGAAACTTTGTACGAAGTAACTGAATGATGGTATATGAAGTTAAAAAACGTACTAAAGAGACTACAATAAAGATTAGGTTTGATCTAAATTTGCCTTAGACATTTATTCAGTACGTCTAGAAAAAGGATCAAAAGATAAAGCGCAAAAGAACGAATGATTATACCAATGAGTAAACATTTGCTCTTTGTTTTTGTGAGTAGGCACTATCATTTTTAGAAGTGAAAGTATCAGCTATCAGGTATCGTAACTATATCACAGCATTACCATTATTCAAAAGACCACTGTTTGAAATACTCCTACTATTATTATTATTCCCTCGGGTTCCGAGTGAAACATATGACTCTAGCAGTGCACCTCCATTTCATCTTGTTCTCTGTATTCTTTTCTAGCTGACTCCATGGTTTGACACAAGCTTTCAACTCCTTCTCACATGACGTCCTACGTGTATCCCCCGAACTGCCAACTCGTCATTTCTCAGTTAGGTTTGCTCCACAGCCTGTCATATGATCTCTACAAAGTGTGCCTAATGCATCTCTGTTTCCAATATGTCAGTCTTTTTTCTTTTTATCTTTACCTGTCAATCTTCATTTATCATCATCATGACGAAATTTCTTATTTAATCAAAAAAAAGGCGAAATACACGAGGAATGGACATAGTTATTTCTGTTGGTGGGATACCTATTCATCCAAACTATTCATTTTTAAGTAAAAACCCTATACTTACAACAACATTTATCCTATTATGAATCACTAATGTGTATGCAAATAGACAATTTGATAATAGTGGGTAAAACTAGTTTATTGACAAAATATAGTTACATATTTGATGGAAAATAACTTACGCGTATTTGATTCCAACGTTGGATGAAATGTCTAGATATATCACATGCTGCAGTTCCTTCAATTACACAGCCAACATCATGCCATGGCATTCGTGGCACACATGTTCTATCTACCAAATCTACAAAAATAATATTTTGTGCATGATAGTTTTTTTTTAAATTTTGTTGAAACAATACAACACATGATTTTATTTTAATTTACAAGAAAATATTTTTGCCTTTTAATATTTACTTAAAAAAAATTATTTTGATTGAAGTGACAGTTCTAATGAATGAGGTGATTATTGATTCCATAGTTTATTAAAAGATTATTTTGCCTAGAGTCTGATATAAAATACAGGTTATTTTCTAATTTATTTTAACTAATAATTCTGTAGAAGTAAGGGTTTGAAAATTATTTTGACAACTCTTTACATGATAAAGTACAGCTGGTGTAGCATAATTAACATGTATTTTTTCTCTACAAACAAGTTTACGGAAGCAATGCCAAGATATTGACAGATGTGAAGTTAATGATTACTGACGAACACGGTAATGATAGTTCTCTGCTTTTATAAATTAGAAAATCTCGCTTATACTACTTAATTATACTGCCTCTTTAAAAGTAATATTTCACTGTTTTTAAATTTCCTACCAATATACCTTATTTTCAAAAGTTTGTTTGAAGGAATTTGATTTGTTCCAAGTTTGATCAAGGGTTGATACAATTAAGAAAATCATATAAAAATCGGGATCAAACTTGAAACAAATCAAAGACTTACAAATAAACTTTTGAAAATTAATCTGATGCTCACTAGTGACTGACTGCACGATGAAGTTGCCTGGACTCCTAGTGAGAAGTCATAACCAGTGTGGTCTACGCGGTTGGGAATAAGGAAAAATACTCACCAAGCATGACATTGGCTGGTGGTGGTGTCAAATTAACAAATTGGTATAAGTTGGAATCCAAGGGCCACTGAGTTGGATCCCAGTGGCTGAACAGTCTACGAGCTTGACTTGTAGCATGAAGGTTCCGCATCCGAACCCTAGTGGGAGTGCTTACTGCCAGTGAGCCTCACACCTAGTTGAAACGACTATCCAGTACTCCCTAATTTTCAATGGTTCTTTAGCTGGTATCAATGCATTAAGAGACTTGAAAAAATATATCCTCTGTACTTCATGGCAGTTAACTTTTTATCTATTTTTCACTTGAAGATTGTGTGATGCAGGGTTGACTACCTTTCTCATGTAAATTTCAAGATATATTTTTATAAATTTCTTATTTTATTAAAGTGAAAACAAGTATTTGCTATGAGTTTATAAGTAAATCTAATCTCTCGACTATAGGCCCCATGAATTAGAATTTCATTGAATTTACTTGTGTAAGCAAATCAGTCTTAGTTAAATGCTTGTCTTTAGCATCAAGACGTGTCTGTAATGACCTTAGTTTCTAGAAATGGGCGGGTTATGTTGCCTTAAATTAGTTCCAGGATTAATGAATACTGATCAAATGCATTTGTATTCCTACTCAGCCAACATCGTATCACGTTTTGGACCTAAATAGGATGGTGGACATTCAAAAATTTTCAAGTCAAATCACGGACCGATATTAGTAAGAGATTCATTGAGAACCAAAGACTATTGGACAGCAGTTTCTTCGAAGTTTGGGAATCTTCATTAGTTCAGGACCTTGACCCCACTGAAGACCAGACGCACGATCTTCAGATTAGGCAGTGAGTCCATCCCCCATTCAGAGAGTGTTTGTCCTCACATCCTACGGGATGAACCACACTGGTCACGACTACTCACTAGAGTTCCAGACAGCTTCATGCTGTAGTCAGTCACTAATGAGCTTTAGATACGACTGAATGGCGCTGGCACTTTGTATCGCGAATCAGAAGAAAGTTAGTATTCATGGATCATTGGGTTCCGTCCTGGTTGTTAAATGGTCAACGACCTCGTCTCATAACCTGTAGATCTCGGATTGTGTTCCTAGTGGGGTCATGGATGCATGTAGCTCAAGATTCCAAACTATAAGGAAACAGTTACTTCCTGGTTTTCATTGGTACTCTGACAGATACCATTCTGTATTCTATGTTGAAACCAAACAAGCCCCCCTACAAATCGAAATTCAAAAGTTCGGAAAATTTCGAAAAGAATTTATAGACAAATGCACAGGAGGTAGATAGTTTTGTGAAGAAGGAATTGGGCTTTCCTTTACATTATGTGTAACAGTTGAAAACTCTGGAACAATCGAATGCCCACAATTCTGAATATAATTAATTATAATGTCAATAAAAGTAAGAATTAACCTTGGTGAATAAATGTAACTTAGGTGTAGATTGAAAACCAAATTATTTAAACAATTGTCTTTGATTACATACTAGGTGTTGCAGTCAGTAAATTCAGTTCTCAGTCACTAGATTTTTACAGCATTAGAACTAACTAAACAAGTAAGTTGGTATGATCAAACAGACTGATCAATTGAAGTTGATAAATCGAATAAAAAGAAATCACAAGTATACTGTTTAACACTTTTAATAGCTAAGCTTTATTAAAAGTTTTGATAATGTTGAAATAATAAAGTATTAGGAGAGAAACTGAACAAGCCTTGTGAGCTGATAAGACTTGTACCAAATCATTAGTATTCCTGCTTTTTACATAATTTGAAACTTCCTCCTTACAAGCCGAACAAAAATATTACAGTGATAAAACATTCATCCGTTTCAGCCTCAAATGTATGTTGAATGATACATCTGATATTTAGAATGACTTCAGGAAAAGAATTCACATTCAGATGAACAAACTTTGAGGAAGGACCAGTTAGGTAGCGCTTTGGCAATAAAGATATGCATATCTTTTATCTAGATTTATGTGGATACAATACTGTCGTATCCGACATTAAGAATATAAACTTATCAACCAAAAAACTTTGACATCTTACCTACTGCAGGGTGTTCTTTGGCTAGTGGCTCAACCAAACTCCAGTTGACGTAGTCTTGTCCAACCCAGGTACATCGTTTACCAGCCTGTGAAAGATTTTCTAGAGCAGCCAGTTTTCTTAAAACAGAATCAACAGTAATTTAGAATGAATGGTCGACATATAATGTGTAAATTCATCAGTTACAAATGATATAAACGTATTTTGAAGTTCAGTTAGTCTTTAAATACCGGCATATTGCGTTTTTCATTTAGTAAAACGAATTACATCATAAAAGTCTCAAAGTATTTTTTCACACATATTATTTTTTTTGGACAGCTCGTTTGAATTAGTTTAAAAACAAACTTTAATAAAATGAAGAAAGATGAGTTTCCAGCTGCAGAGATTAAATTTATTCAAAATCAGATCCCAAAATGAGATCAGTTAGAGCACCACTGGAAACCATAAAGTACTGAGCAACTGTTTCATCCTAGTTTATAATTCTGAGTGCTGCTTAACAGTTACAAACTGGAACAAAAGAGGTGTCTTATACTCTTTGGTCTCCAGTGACTCTCAAACTGATGTCATTTCCTAAGCTAACTTGAAAGACAGATTTATTTATTTACTAAGAAAATACATTGGAAATAGAAAACCCAGGGATATGAGTAGAAGTTTTTATAAATTTAGTGTGGGGCAAGTATAAAAGCATGACAAGTTTTGAAATCCTGATAAATATATTGTCATCTCAGAAGATGGATAATTTAACGAGGAAGCAGTTCAACATAAGGCTTTCATCCTCATGTACACAAATCAACAAAATTAGGGTAATGATGTCCAGTAGGTTAACTGTTTTGATATACTCTAAATACGAGATATTATAAATCAAAATGCCTTAGCAGAAAATTCTCTTTCCGATGATCTTATTTTCACAGATATAGAATAATAATAATAACAGTTTTAGAATGAAATGTTTGTTTTAAACATAGTACAGAATTTTCAGCTGGTTTTATTTACAGGTGGTTACTCCTTTTACAAGATCTCCAAGTAATATCATAATTGGTAATGCGTAGCATGAAGCAATATTGTTCCACCCAAAGCATACTGCATTACTCTGCAAAGATTTTCTTCCACTTCCTTTAAATGATTCGCAGCAGTATGTTGAAACATTTTTGAAAATGTGCATGAAAGTCAATAACGATTCAGCAACGCAGTTAGATGCTTAGAACAATATGATATGCAGTAAATATGATACATTTCGATGGATGCCTGGTGAATTAGGCAGACCAGACAGTGGACAATAACAATTAGTTTTATTGTGTGTGTACGTGGTGAAATTCGACAGTGAGTGGAAATACAGCGTGACACTTTTAGTGTAGATGATTATGAATCACAAATTTATTAGAAATATGAATAAATAGAAGAAAGTCAACACAACGCAAAGTTCACAATGAATTCCTTTTGTTAACTATTACAGATAATCTATTGTATGTGTTTATCACTTTCCAAAACACTAAGGAAACATTTTCCCTACTTAATATGTACTGCATCATATTTTTCGAAAATTGACCGTATAAATCATTGGGCTAAACCATTCACACACAGGATCGTGAGTGAGTTAGAATTTAAACCTATTCATTCTATTATTTTCTACCATGTACATTTCAAAGCACATATACTAATTAACTTTCATATTCTCAGTTGTTGAATTGTTTTTCTATCTATGCAGTTTACCCTGGTTAACTTTACTTACCATCCGCTTACGAGAAAATCAAATAAAAATGTTATGTTGAAAAAATGAAGGTAATCTAACATAAGTGGTAAAACGATATTATGTGCTTCATGTATACCTGTATGTATGCGTATATCCTTTTCATCACAATATGATGATATTGTAACAGTGTGAGTATCACTGTCATTATTAATAGTATTAAGATTTACACTTTTTCCTATTCAGAAAGCACAAACATCTTAGTTAATGTTTACAAGAAATAAAAAATCACTGAGACTGACTATACTACTTATCAGTTAAGTACACTTGTGAGAGTCCTTCAGTTGTTAAAAGTTTTGTCTAGAATTTAGGACTTACAATTTCCGAATTCTCTTAATCACTATTTTAATCCATCACATTCTCACAGTCTATAAAATAAAGTGAGAACTAGGCTTGACATATTATGTCTCTTATTACCCTTAATTGAATTATTTGACTAAAAATATTTCATTTCATGTTTACTGAGGAAAATTTTTCGATCAAAGAGATTAGGCCGACCGACTGATGTTGCATTGAGTGATACAGCTGCCATTCAAGTGAGTAAACTAAACCGCACAAATTATTGATGCAAAGTTAGGTATAGTCATTTTCATAAAATTGTGATTATAAACTCTGTTGGTCATTAAGAAAGTAAACAAACAGACCATTAAAAAACTATGCAGTTACTGGAAATAATACAGAAATGAAGAGGCTCAACATATATGAAAACTTGGATTCCACTAAATGGATCATTGCCATTAGTTTATGTCATTTATGAAGTACAGAAACATGAGAAAACATTTGCAGATGAATTAGTGAGGTCAATTAGCATCCTCTCAGCACTCTAAACACTCGATATGTGACAATTTGAACTGAACTGAATTTCCAACATAGAAATTCCCTTAAGGGTGAAGAAGTTAAACTTGCCACACTTGTCAAAACTGATATAAAGATGGTGAAGACAAGCAAAGAAAGTATAATAAGTGGAAATATGTGGGGGAAAGAATAGTGATCACACAGAGATTAACGAATATTAAATGGATCTGGTTGGTCACAAAGAATAAAAGCATGTGCTAGGGTAATCAGATACATTCTAATAAATAAAGTTAGAATTCTAGTTCACTCATAATTCTGAGGGTTTGAATGAATTAACAGCATGCTCATTTGATTCATAAGTGTTCTTACTTCAGAATTTTGTCAATGTTTAAAAGTAATATTAAGTTCCTGTATTGCAGTCAAGTTAGAAGCTTCATGATTGTGATAGACAGCTCATTCATATCATTACTTGAATGGTGTTTCACTGTAAAGTTTAAGCATCAGATACCTTAAATAACACAAGCTTGTTGTGCTACCTTACTTTGAACTACACTAACTCACTGTTTGCTAAATTTAGTGCTTCAACAGTCTTCTAGACAATTAATTAAAGTTATGATATGTGTGAACTGCGTGCGTCTGGTTTATGTTTGAATGTGACATAATGGAGTAGTTCGCAGTTTTGAAGGTTTCTAGATAGTTTTATTTCCCAGTAGAGTCAGCATGCATTCTGTGAATGTAATTAATCAATATACACGCTGTTTTCTTATTAATTGAAAGATATACAACCATGTTCTCTAAAATGTTCATTGAAACTTTGAGAAAACACGCATACCTTTCAACTGTTATTATGATTAAACTTCAGCCAGATTATTCACTAAAATTAACAAAGACAACTGCGTTGTTGTATAGTACCATTACCACTTATTTAAAAGACTTTCGTCTACTTATTTCTAGCTGTGATAGGTACAAGTTTGTGTTATAGTCTACGAAGACCTCATATTCGAGATTTTGAAGCTTTAGGCATATCTGTGAAATCATATTTCTCTAACAAATAATTATCATCAAAATTTGTTGATGAGTTTAAACATGAAGGTTATTTATTGTCGGTTTATCTTATCAGCAATGCTTAGCCAGTATGTGTACCGAATTCCTTCATATCTGCAAAATATTATTAGCAAAAGCTAAGCGAGTTATTTTTAGACAAATATTTTAAACAAGATATAATTTAGTGAATTGTTTACATGACCGGTCACCGAAATTTATCTGTTTTTAGAAAAAAGAGTCCTCAAATCTCATAAAAGTCGTTCAGTGTTTAAATTTCACTGTTCTTCGTTGTTTTAAAATCAGATACTACTTAGTTTACTTGCAAAGTTATTTGCTGAGAATTCAAAAGTTCCTGTAAGTAGAATTCAGGATAGCTTTAATCACCGAATTAAGTTTAACAGGACTTTTCCAAAATAACGAAGTAATAATTTAGCATTTCCTCTTAAAATTAAAGTATATCATATAGGGTGTTATATTAAATCGACGACTATTCTTTACTAACCACTTTTGGAGTAATTTTTTTCTTTCACGTTCTCCGGTGGAACATAGGGCTTCAAACTAGTAGCTTGAAGTTTCTGTAGCAGTGCTTATTTTAAAGGATGTGGTTGCTAACCTTAGGCCCAACCCTTCCTCTTCACCAGAATTCTTTCTGGCTTAGAGAGGTAAAGAAGTGCGTCGGTGGCCGGGGATCGAACCCCGGACCATGTGCATGGTCGGCGAGCGTCCTAGCCGCTATGCCACCGACCCACTTGGGAGTAAATAATATGAACAAACTATTTGGAGTATAAATAAGATATCTAAAAGAGAACGTAGCTTAGGAAATACTCCTATTTAAAGAAAGCAGAGTAATACTGATCAGTAACTGAGTTTCATTTCTAACGGGTGGCGATTAGCAGTGAAATCAATTTCTCGTTTTCTATAATATTTAAGACTTTCAAGCATTTCATTGAGTGATAATGTTCCCTATGAAAAACAAACTGCAATTTAAAACACCAAGCTGTTATATATAAACCACCAAATCCAAGACAACCACCTCTTAAATAACACTTCTCAGTTATCATTCGCTGAAAGTGTTGAGTTTCTAAATGCTTGATGTGTATTCGAAATAGTCGATTTCCATCAGCATAGCGACTTCTACAAAGTACAAATGAGCCATGCCTCTGTTTGCAAACCTGATGTCGTTTTTCTAGAGCATCATCAAACCATGAGTTTATGGCGCCAAAATAACAACAATGATTGATCAATTCACTCCAATGAAAGCAAATAATACTGATTTGCAGAGTTCCACTGAGTAATGTCTAAGATCTTCTGATTATGGAAAAGTAGTAGTTCTGAAACAAAATCTTTCATTATTTTGTATTACTGAATCAGATAATATTGTAGCTAGTAGATTGCGACAACTATTCAACTTGGAACTGAAAAAATGAGGGATTTTCGTGTCTGTATTAGACTAGTGCTAAGCTGATATTAAATAACCACAATAATTAGAAGTGTATTACTGTAAGTTTATTAATAACAGATGGCGCTAGAAACCTGTTTTAACCATCTGCTATCAAGTATCCCATATGATGGAATACAGGTTGCTCTTTCTTCATTTTTAACCTATCCAGAAATATCCTTTCATCGAATTATTTTCAGTTGTTCATTTTCTTATAACATTTCAATCAATCAGTTTGACTCCCATATCAAATAACCGTCCCTGAATTAGTTAGCACAAACTACTGATTTAAAGGTTATCTCTTGATTGTATTTGTAAAGGTTATTAAATTTGTTACAGTAAGAAAATTCCTAGAATTTCATTCTGTATGAAATCATCATAATTTTATACGAATAATTAAAAAAACATTGGCTAGTGAATGCACTGTTACCAAACTTCAAACAGTGGTAATGTGTCAGCTTTAGAACTACGAGAATATTTTAGAGAAGTGTCTTGTTTACACCAGTAAATGTCATCATATCAAATTGCAGCGCTGCTTCAGAGGCTCTTCATCTACCATTCACCTCTTTTATTCTTATATGCACTCTGATAATAAAAGCCCACAAGATTTACTGATGTGAATGTTATACATTTTCACAGAATTAAGGATAAATAGATGACAGTTGCCTTAGATACTAGCACGTGCTACTAACAGAAATTTTAAGTAATATGTTGGCTATGCGATGCATTATGTCACAAACAGTAAAAACAAAGATACTTCCTAAACAGTACGGAAAGCAAAAAATGATGATAAAAGCAGCAGAATACGAATATCCTTTGCAAATTGAAATTCCAAAGTAGGATTTTTCCATTCTATTATTACTGTACATCATTTCGCCAAATAATCATTTTGGCCACTAAAACACCACTGCGTTCTGTTACTACACCAGCAAAAAAAAGTTTCAAAAGTTTGTATTGACTTTCATACTTCGGACGCCTTTAGAAATGCACCAGACGTGACAGCATATTTAGTATCAAAACTGAAACACCTTCGGGCATAATAGTTATGTAATATTCTTTTAAATTCATATTCAACTAGTGTCGTGTGGCTTGAAAAATTCACTCCTCAAGAAGTTTTTTTTACTTTAACTGTATCGTGTTTCAAAATGAGGAGTTATCAACGTATTCTGGAGAGGATATTTAAAAACAATTCGTTTTCACTGTCCAACGAAAATGAAATGGTCAACCTACTTGCGTATAACAACATCTGTTGTAACTTCATCGTCATAAGCAGGATTATCGTAAATAAAATTTGAGTCATTTTCATAGTTTCCCCATTCTGATTCACAATAGGCAGGATTCACTTGGTCGTCTAATACTTGTTGACTTTCTTTTTTATCTAATGCCATTTGATACATGAGAGAGCGCATTGCATCTCCAGCTCGATGAATCTATTCGGAAATTAAGTAGAAATTAAAATATTTTTCAAATTTTATTTGCTTGAAAGAGTGAAACAAAATATAGTTCATGAATATAAAAACCCAAGTTTAAAATAAGTTTAGTCTAGTCACAAAAACATAACAGTTACTGTCAATATCAAGAGTCCTTCTATTATCATAATTTCGAATCGTATTGCTGAATTCAAAGAGTGAAAACGTTACGGTCTGTCTGTCTGGATTCAGCATAGAACTTGATACCGAAGTGCAGCAGTTCGAGTTGCCACGTTCCAAATAGCACACAAGGAAGACAAGAAGATGAGTGCAGGGAATCAATAGAGTTTTGACAAGTATAAGAGTGAAACAGAATGAGTAATGGTAGAAAGGAGTATGAAGGTTAAAGAGACTGAATACATCTGCGCCATTGACAACGATTTTGAGCCATGTCACCTATTGTCTCCAGCCATTGATTCTTAGAGTCCCGGAAGTCTGCATCTCCCTACCTGACTCAGTTTAACTGTCAAGGATTTCATGGATTGATGCCATGTTTTTGTTTGGCCACCACTTGCTCTTTCCAATGTTACGGTAAGCGTGTATATTCACTTTCCCACTGTTTACTTTAGATTTTGATTTTAGGTGAAAGAATGTCTATTTAATATAAGTGTAGAACTTGGGCATTGTCGTAGAATGTAATTCCATATTAGATTTAATGTGAAAAAATATCTATTCAGAGCTTCATTTAAAACACGAGATTTTCTGCAATTACTAAATATGCATTTGAAGCCAAGAGTGCAGTGGTAACAAGATGATTTTTATTATTTTGGTGGATGGTGACTAACAGTGGAATCCATGATGTGCACTTCACTTTACCTGGAACTCGTCAGCTATATGTACCTGCAGTCCTCACTGAACGATAGGGACTGAACATTTCAGACAAACATAATCCATCAACGGGAAATACAAAATTAAATTAGGGATGACGTTTAGTTTTTCCCAGGCATTCAGAAACAAATTCGAAATCAAAGATTAGTAACTTCTATTGTTTTTAAAATTAAAAGTTGAACTCTGTTTCATCCTATGATCATTTAACCCCATGTGTTAAAATGTGACTTTATGTGGAAATTAACACGACCGGTTTATGTAGACACCTTATGAAGTTACATAACACTTTATCGTAGAAACTACTTAGCCTACTCAGACTAAGTATAACTTGTATTGATTCTGATTGGAAATCCTTACATCTGACGATCAACTGTTTGAATTCAGTGATATTGTTATAACTTTAAGTCTTTATTACTTTCACTGTAGCTAAAACAACTTATGAATAGAAACCAATTTGCAATCTTCTGATTACTAAGTATTCGTCTATTCTGATCAATGGTTTTATTTTCACGCTGTAACATACCTATTTGTTTGAAAAAATTCCAATTCCATTTTGAACAAATTACAATTATTTTATGAAAATTTTATTTTGCCTTTAGCAATTTAATGAGCTGAAATTAAGTTATTCCTTCTGTAATCTTATTTATCAGTGATTATTGTTATTTCATATGTGACCACGGATTGATATCAGTCAGAAAATCATTGAAAACCAGGGAATACTGGACAGCTGTTTCATTGTACCTTAGGACTCATTGGCAAAACACACCCGCCAACACTGAGTCGGGTCCCAGTGACTGAATAGTCTACGAGATTGACTTGTAGCCAAAAGGACCTGGGTTCGAACCCTGGTAGTGGGTACTTACTGACGATGAGCCGCAAACTAGGACGAAATGACTGCCCAGTACTCCCTGGTTTTCAATGGTTCCCTGACTGATACTAATCCCTGGTCAAAATTGAAACAAATAAAATTCCTAAAAACTAATCCTCGAAGATTATTGTTATTTTAGAAAGGTTTCGATTACATTAGTTGAAACTTATCCTGGACAGTAGACACGGTAAATCAAATCATGTCTGATAGATTCTTGTCATCATTACTTTACTACAGGTATTCCATTGATGAAAGCTTATTAACTAAAGCAATTATCACAAAGAACACAATTACACCAATATGAATCCTTCTTTTTTGCAGAACACTGATATGAACGAAAAGCTTAGGAAATCTTAGTCCAATGGTGTTTTGACTTTTGCACAACTATTAAACGTTTTATTACCTGCACATAAACAGTTTACATAATATTTAAAACTAGACTTTGGCACTGTATCATGTATTTCGGGTTGACAAGTAATTTGGGGAGCCTGAAAAAACTTGCAGAACAAGTTATAGAAACAATGACAGTGATATTGTAGCCAAATGAATAGTGTAAGTTTAATTCTAACAGCTTTCTCCATGATAACCTTATTAAACAACTCACTAATAAGAACGATCCAATTTCCAATACTTTAGCACAGACGTGTTTGATGGCATTAATGAGTGTTGGATATGTGAAGCGTGTCACTCTACGGAGTCCACCTTAATCAAAGAGACCTACGCTTTGCTATCAAAAACCACGGAACTCCCCAAAGATAATATCAGTCAGAAAGATAATGTAAACTAAACTTCCGGTGATTAAGTTTTCAGTACCAGAAACCACTGATTCACGGACTGCTAGGCGTTCCAAACCCTTAAGGAAACGCAAGAAACTAATATCTGTAACACTTCTAACAGTACCACGCGCCCAGAACCTTCTGCGGATAAATTGGATGGTAACCCTGCTTGTCAGATCATAGATTTTTTTATTATAGCTTGATTCCACACCGTATTTTTACTACAAGTATGGAATTTTCAGCATGGTGACCTTAACCTCACAGTATAGGATGATGGATCGTGAAGATAGGAACTGCCGTATGAAACTGTTTGAGTAACAAAGTGTAAAATGTGGAAAAAGTTACTTATTCAATCTGAGCAGCTAAGTCGTTTATGACCAGGGGTCCCTAACCTATAAGACGACGCAATTAAAAGACATTCCTGAACGTTAGAATTAGTTACTAAACTTATAAGGAAATACGCCTAGCAAGTTTCCGTGGTGTGATCATGAGAAAACAGGTTGATATGGGAAAGAGAGTTGTTGACAGCACTTTCAAGTAGTGCAGACTCCCTAAGGAGGTGATTAATTCATCTGACTAACAAAATCATTTACTAGTCGACACACACAAACTCAGTGTGAACTGATTATTTCTAAGACCAGACTGCTTTTGAATAATGAGACTGGGAAGAAAGTAGCTAGTTCAACTGGAAACAAGAAACCAAAGGAGGGAGCATGATTTGAAACACAGTCATATTCTGGAAACGAGTGCTTTTAGCACCTACAGAGATAAGTCAGTCCTTGTATAAAGCCTTATAGTAATGCATATCAATAATAGAGAAGATTTGTAGCTCAGGTGGGTGATTTGCAATTAGTTGCGTTCTCTGAGCTGGTTGGTATATTTGCGGAGCTTTCATCGTCCTTCTGGACAACATCTTCAGTGCGCAGAGGAAACACCAAAAGTGCCAGGGAATTCCTAGAAGCCTGGTACTCAAACGAATGTGCAATTAACAAACATGCTAATATAGACCAAATATACCAACTAATAAATAGTAGATCATGTGACCAGAAAGTTTAAAATCCAAGTGAATAGAAAATGGTCAATACATATGTGAAGGTGGTTACCGGGAGACGTAATTCTATCACTCATGGAAAATTTAAATTAGATCACTTCATGCTAAAAATTGCGCTGAAGATGTTGTCCAGAAGGATGACGAAAGCTCCGCAACTAAACTAACCAGCTCAGAGAACACTATTAATTGCAAATCATCCACCTGAGCTACAAATCTTCTCTATTATATTCTTTAGCTGTTGTTGTAAACAGCTAGCATTTAATATAGTAAGTAGCTGATGAAATAAGGCACTATCGTAACATTTTTAAGCTGACAAAATTGGATGCAGTACAATCGCAGTTCTGCTGCCTTTAATCCTGCTGGAGTAATATATTAAAATCCAAATCGTTAGTATGATGACTTCATATTAAAGGCTTTTAAGCAAAGGGTAGCTACGCCAACTGCCTTATTCAAGAAGACTTTAATGCATCCTACCTAAGATGGATTGCTCCTTTCTCTCCAGAACCAACTATGAAATTCGACAAAAGATTACTACTAACTATCAAGAAGAATGCCTTGATGCAGCATATTTTAGGTAACACAACTCTCAAGTAGGTGCTAGAGACTGTAGGGTATTATCGTCTGATACAAACGCTTGTAATTCAGACCGTTTTTAGCCCTGACGTTTGTTCTGAAGATATCTTAGCTATCATGAAACGTTGTTTAACTATACATCGGTCGTCTGACAATTATTAGATTGTCGATGCTATATAACGAAGAATACACCTGGAATGGTTGAATCTTAATCCATCCCTTGGAAGTTTTCCAGTCCGCTAATGATTCATCTCTCATCGATAAATAACCTGATTATGCACTACACAGGAGGAAGAATAGGTAATGCAAGTTTTTTACTCCAGTTGGCTGAAACTGTTCCTGCTAAAATACTGATGAACCAGAAATTAGTGTAAGACCTTGATTTATCAGTCTTGTAAACTACAGATAGTTATGAACCCACAGCGCTGTGCCAAAAGACTTTTCGCATTTGTGAAGAAAAGAACTAGGAAAATCGTTGCTGTTACCACTCTACTAGTTGGTGATGGCCTGATGATAATTTGACTAAGACTGAGGCTCTTTCAGTTTACTTCAGCCAGGAATTTTCTGGAAAAGGTAGTACAACTATATCATATTTTTCAGAAGCTGGGCCAGGAAGTGAACCTCTGTCCACTAATAAGGAAGCCATTCAAAATTTACTTTAAAAAGCAATTCTGATGGATTTAGTGTACTTGATGGAGTGCACCCAACAATGTTTTTAAAACCTGACTTAGAAATCCGACTATGAATTACTGTTCTGCAACTACTATTGTCACCAAACATATAAAGAAGATCATTCCTGATGCTGTTATTCAGCATGATGTGT